GAAAGGCAAGCATCTGCAGCCGTTGAGGCACATGCAGAGCTGTGGCTTTGAGGGAGCTAGGTTGCCTGTGCTTGGGTCCTGGAGAGATGCCTTTGAGCTTCTCTGTGCTACTGTTTCCCTCTCTGTTATGCTACCTGTTCTCTAGAACTTTTTACAAAATGAAATGGATTGATATTTCTAAACTGTCTTCGAAGGTGCGGGGGAAGTGACAGTTTAAAGATAGAGATGGTCAATAATGATGGGATCAAATTCTGATTCAATAGATTGGCCATAAAAATAATAATCAGTTTTGGATATCTCAGGTATCTTAGCCTTCCCCATACGCTGATGTAAGCTTAAGAAGTTTCAGAAATGTTCAGAAAAGAAGGTAAGCAAAAGAATGCTTATTAAGTTTAGGGAATTCACCACAAGAATCTAGTTACACCCTCAATGTGTAAGCTTGGGAAGGAGCAGAGTCCATATTTCTGGGTCTCCCTGCCAAATCTGTTTTGAATCATTCCTTATTAACAATTTCACTGTGCCTGTACTGGAAAATATGTGTTAATTTTGGTTTATTCACTTATAGAATGCTAGCAACTCAACTATGTTGATGTTCAATACAGAATCCACAGGCAAGCTAAATGGAGATACGTTGCATTTGTTATTTTATTTTATTATTATTATTATTATTATTTTGCATTTGTTATTTTAAACTTCCTGTTGGGGAGGCTGCTTGCCTAAGTACCCATTACATTTGTATTTGTCCTTATCTTGCTTCATTTGAAGAAATTAATAAATTATATAGTTTTGAACTAGCAATAGATGATTTGAAGTGTCTCTTACAAAAGGAGGAATCAGATCCTTTTGAATGTGAGGTTAAAACTGCATAACAGTACTGTATCTGCTATTCTGCACTATGTCTTGCATTTTTTAAAAATCTATTAAGCCAGTATAAGTTAAATTTTGTTTTGAGCAGTGCATTACTAGTATTTTCAAGTACTAGAAGGAATTAATTCTATTTAATGGTATTGTAAAACAATAGCCATAATTTTCATGTAGTAATTTGACAACGATTAAAGGAAATGAATATTCAGTGCCAAGATGTTCATTCATATCTGATATGGGCTTAAACAGAAGGACCCTTACTAGAAAGAAAATATCTGGGCATAATGTTCCCAAATTCACCTATAGACCCAAAATCTTAACATAAATTATTTTATACCAAGGCAATAGACAATAACCATATGTACATAAAAACATTTATGTGAAAGGCTATTTTATAGTATTAATCATAATACCAAGAAAAATTAAAGCAATAACAAAATAGTTTGAATGAGTTAAGGTAAAGCCATTAATAGATTGCTTTGTAGTTACTAAAGTTGTGGTTTGAGAAATATTTGTTACATCCAAAATATATTCATTAATGTATGACTATAATTATAGCCTAATTTTATTGTAAGATGTAACGCACTCTGCATGCATACACACAGAAATTCACATACACACAAATGGATTATGCCAACATTTTAGGGATGATTACTTTGGGAAGGTGAGAACAATGATGTAGCTCATTTCTTCTTTGACTTTTTGCGTTTCTTGATTTTCTGTAGATACTTGTTACTTTGATAATAAAAACAATGTTTTATTGTATGTGTATGTTATTGTAATAATTTTCTAAAATTTCCAGCATGCAGGGGTGCCTGGGTAGCTCAGTCCATTAAGCACCCGACTTTGGCTCAGGTCATGGTCTCACAGTTAGTGAGTTCAAGCCCCGCAACAGGCTCTGTGGTGACAGCTCGGAGCCTGGAGCCTGCTTTGGATTCTGTGTCTCCCTCACTCCCTGCCCCTCCCTCACTCACACTCTGTCTCTCTCAAAAATAAAAAAATAAATAAACATTAAAAAAAATTGAAATTTTCAGCATGCTAATGCTGGAGGAGGTCATCGAGAGGATGTGACCACCAATTGACCTGTGAGCTGGACCTGGACATTTGTGACTCATCCCCTCTCCTGTCCTTGGAATGTGTACTCTACGTGCTTTCACCAGCTGCCTCAGGACACAGCGTTGAGATAGTAATGTGGTGTTGAGACCTCGTGGATGGTGTACATGACAACCCAGGTGAGTCCTCCATATGAACTTATAAGATTCTGGTGGTGGGTGTAAAGATCTACTCACAGCCTGCAGCCACCCAAGACCAGCCTTGTGTGTAAGGTCCCTTGTTTATTAAACTTGCTACCTGCCAATCTGGAGTGGTCTGCCTTTTTGTCCCCCCCCTCCCCTCCCCAGCTGCCTGTGGAGACTGGTTTCAGTTTACATGCCAGAAGCTACCAAGGTTGTGAACTAAGCTTTAATCTACCTGTAACAATTAAATTGGAACAGCCGTCTATGGATATAGAAAAATAAATAATGTATTAACCTTTTACTGCAAAGACTACTAAATGATTCATTTTTAAGCACAGCATACTTACTTAGGATTATTGGCACATTAACATATATGAACCCAGCCTATATCCCTACTGTGAAATATGAGTTATGAAATTTGAACACTTTAAAAGTATTGTTCCTATTTACTAAGAGCTTTATCAAGGCTCTCACATAAACAAGCATAATTGTATAAATAGTCTCTCATTTTATATCGTAAAGCCTACTATAGTAACATAGAGTAAAAATACTCTATTTTTCATATTGCAGGGTTGCAAAAAAAGACCTCTGTGTTAAAGATTTAATGGATATTATATTTTCCTAATTTTCAGGTGTTTTTAACACTTTGTATCACCTGCTCTTTTAAGTCTATTGCTGTTGCTATCTAAATCCATTCATCTGAATGATACGACATGACGAAGCTATACTCAACTAACAGCAAACCCTGCAGACACTTAAGATGCACTCTCTTTTGTCTTCCAGTTAGCTAGGAATAGAAAAGACCCCTTCCATAATGTCTCCATTTTATTTTAGTCCATTCCAGTATTAATGCTTCGTGTAAAACAATGCTCCTGAAACTTTACCTGCTAGAATTATAAACAGTGGAGGTGAGGAAGAAGCTAGTGGAGACAGCAGGAAGCCCAGCATAAAATCTTCTGCATGGGTGCTCAATACTTGTTAAAAGGCTAAGCTTTTTTTATAGGCTATTCTTGAATATAGATATTTATTCTTGGTCTTTTCATTAGTTTATATATATTATCTATTGAAATAATAGTAATAATGAAACTTTATTGAGGGCTTGCCTGTGCCAGGCACCGTTTTAAATGCTTTCTACACAGGGTAGTTTTCATCTTTACAACAAGAGTTCTGTACATGGATCCAACTATGATCACACCGTGTTATATAGGATAACCCCACAACAAGGAGATTGCCTGATTCACCCCCCATTAAGGACATCTCTGGAACTTGAACCCACACTCTGGACCACTGTCCACGCCATCTGAAGTGTGCCAGCAGTGGCTGTTGGTCAGCCACCAGCTCCTCTGTCCTCCTCCATGTATCCCATCTTCTTTTCAAAGGATATCCTCTTCTAACAGTTCCATGTTAAACCCATAGAGGAAGATGGAGTGTAGTAGCTGCAGAAGATTTACAGAAACCATTTTCCCTGCTCCTGGTGAGTAAGAATCAGAAGGAATTGTCCAGACGGTGACCCCCTGGCTTTCTTTTCTCCCCACTCACAGTTGAAGGCACTGGAGACAGGCAGGACCCAGGATTTTAGATTGCATGTGCAGGTTCCCATGTCTCATGCCTCAAGAATTGCAAGATGACGTATCCAGCAGCTCCTTTGCCTAGTGGATAGGACACCTTCCAATACATACACGGCTGCAAAGGACTGACCGTTCTGGTTTTGTGACTGAGGTTTCAGATGTCCATGGTGTGGGCTTGAGAGTTTGTGTTTTCATTGAGCTTTGTTAGCCCATCACTGTTGACAAAGTTGGAATTGAAAAGCAAGATACTGAGCAGCTGCAGTGTTGGATGCAGCAAGGGGTCCATGTTGATGCTCTCTTGCTGTGGGATGCCTTCTATGCCATCAGGGCTGCCTTGCAAAAGCAGCAAACCATAACTTCACCAACCTCGTCCTATCCAGCTCCATGTCTCCTTCCTTCTTCCCTCCTGCTGTCACCACTAACTTCCTCCTCACCTCTGCTGTTTATAATTCTAGCAGGTAAAGTTTCAGGAGCATTGTTTTACACTAAACATAATACTGGAATGGGCTACAATAAAATGGAGACATTGTAGAAGGGGTCTTTGCTATTACTAACCCAGCTCGTATCCTTATGATTGTTACTTTAAATTCTGATTCAGGCATATTACTTATGTCTGTTTCAGTTAGATTCCCAGCTGTGACCTCTTCCTGTTTTTTCTTTTGGAATCAATACCTCCTTCTTGGCATTTTCTCTAGCTCTCTTTTTCTATGTATTAGGAAAGCCTTTTATATTTCCTGCTACTGAGAGTAATGGCTTTATGAAGCAGAGGTCATACACTGTCCAGGGCCCGGTGCCTTCAGGAAGTGTCTCCAGTGTATGCAGTGTGCACTCTGCTGCTGTGTTTTGGCTTCTCTTTCCCTTAGGTCACTCCTCTCCAGAATTTCCCCTTGCCTGCAGTGGGGAGTGTTTGGACCTTGGCCAGAGTGTGGCAGGTTTTAATTAAGTGTTCTCTGGTCCGCTTGCTCTTTCCACTAAAGCTGAAGCTTTGCAGCACTCTGTGGTCAGTGGACATGGTGCATGCAAGGGCTTGTATTGGTCTTCCGGGGGAGGGGCCCACTGCTCTGTTTGTCAGACACATCTGCCAGAGAAAAGCAGCACGAGCAGAGCATAGGGGGCAGGGCTTGGTGTAGGTAGTTCAGACCACCATTGTTGGCACTGTGCTGCTTACTGACGTTAGTTTATGCTAAGGGGCGGCAAGGAAAATGGCTCCAGCCACCTCTCTAGTCCGCACAGAGGGGAGTGCACACCTGCTGTTGCCTGGGAAGCCTTCCCAAAAGAGCTAATAATCTCCCCTGTTTGTGTCCCAGGCGTTTCGTAGATCACTGCCTTCACCATGTCTGTGTCTGGGCCATCTGCCGGCCTGGTAGCCCAGTGCACCTGTGTTCTATCCCAGGCAAGCCGACTGAGTTTTAAAATTCCAAACTTTAGAGATTTGGCATGGCAGGGACCCTCGCTTCGTTCTTGGTTCTTTGGGGGAGGGTCTCATTACTCTGGGACTGATGCAGGTTTGTCCCAGAAGGCAGTCCCACCAAAGCACAGGGGCATGGAGTTTGGAGTGAAGCACAGCAAAGAGCCAGTGTCCCGGCTAGCTGCCCTTAGCAGGTGTCTCTGCACCTGTGCCGAGGGGTAAGGGTGTGAAATGGCAATACCGCCTCTCCCAGATGTGCCCCAGATGTGTTTGTTCTGTTAGTCCTTAGATTGGTTTCTTGGGTATTCAGAATGATTTGATATTTATCTAGCTGTGCTTGAGGTCTGGGGCGAGTCTAGGGTCCTCCTGCTACTCTGCCATCTTAGCTCCCCCCCCACCCCCTTTTCAACCTATGGCACTTTTTGCTCTTGCTGAGAGATGGAGAAGGCTGAAAACAATCCGCTGAATGTTAAGGAACAATTATGTTGACAATACGTATGCTTATATCAACTGGAAATTATTCTGCCTCATGTAACATGCTAACTAGAGACGTGTTGTTATAATAACAGATAGTATGCAAATTCTGAGATTGTAAAAGAAAGAAATATTGTATAAGAAGGAATTGAGAACACTAGGTGGTGGGGAAAAACCGGCATCTCGAAGGAGAGGGAAGGTTAAACCATGAGCATTTGCAGCATACGAGGCAGTGTGCAGGTATATTTTATTGTGTTTAAATTCATTGATACTATTTGATTTTTAGAACATCTTTATAGATTGGTTTAGTTTTTACTTGAATCGGGTTTAAATTCTAATTTCTGACTGATTTAATTGAGAGCTGTTAATTTATGAGAACTATTAAATTTATCAATTTCAGGCATGCTTGATTATAAGAACTACATGCTGTCTCTTGATAAAAATACAGATTTTTACCTAAGAGAGTACAGAATTCTGCATTTTTTCTCAATAATACTTATTTTTTTAAAAAATTCAAATCTGTACTTTTATCTAGATTCATTGGTCATTAAAATTATGGTAAGTTACTGGATATATGAAGGGATGGATGGATAGATAGAAATAGGCCCCTTAAAATCTATTCTAATAAATTTCATTATGAATCCCTAGAAGTTGGAAATTCCTAAACTTAACCTCGAAGGTAACAACAAACCTTTAGTTAGAAAAACATTACTCTCAACATGTAGCTGTCAAATGGTTCTTGTTTAATGTGAAGTAAAGTCATACATCTGAAAACATGTATTTAACCATATATGTATCTTTTACAGAATAACAACCCATCTTCCCTGTCCTTAAGAATGTGAACAATTCTGGGGGCGCCTGGGTGGCGCAGTCGGTTAAGCATCTGACTTTAGCCAGGTCACGATCTCGCGGTCCGTGAGTTCGAGCCCCGCATCAGGCTCTGGGCTGATGGCTCAGAGCCTGGAACCTGTTTCCGATTCTGTGTCTCCCTCTGTCTCTGCTCCTCCCCTGTTCATGCTCTGTCTCTCTCTGTCCCAAAAATAAACGTTGAAAAAAAAAAAAAAAAAAAAGAATGTGAACAATTCTTTTAATGTACTGTTGGATTCGATTTGCTAATATCTTGCTAAGAATTTTTGCATTCTTACTCATCCGGGATATTGGTCTGTAATTCTCCTTTTTAATAGGGTCTTTGTCTAGTTTGTCTAGTTTTGGAATCAAAGTAATGCTGGCCTCATAGAAGGATTTGTAAGTTTTCCTTCCCTTTCTATTTTTTGGAACAGTTTTAGAAGAGTAGGTATTAACTCTTCTATAAATGTTCAGTAGAATTCCCCTGGGAAGCCTTCTGGCCCTGGACTGTTACTTGTTTGGAGATTTTGATTACTGATTCAATTTCTTGGGTGATTATGGGTCTATTCAATTTTCTATTTTTTCCTGGTTCAGTTTTCGTAGTTTATGTGTTTCTAGGAATTTATCCATTTCTTCCATATTGCCCAATTTGGTGGTATATTGTTGCTCATAATGTTCTCTTATAATGATTTGTATTTCTGTGGTATTGGTTGTGAACTCGCTTCTTGCATTCTTGATTTTATTTATTTGGGTCCTTTCTCTTTTCTTTTTGGTAAGTCTGGCTAGGGGTTTATCAATTTTGTTACTTCTCTCAAAGATACAGCTCCTAGTTTCATTGATCTGTAATTTTTGGTTTCTGTATCATTTATTTCTGCTCTATATTATTTCCCTTCTGTGGATGGAACTACAGTGTATTATGCTAAGTGAAAAAAGTCAGTCAGAGAAAGACAAATACCGTATGATTTCACTCACATGTGGAATTTAAGAAACAAAACAGATGAACATATGGGAAGGGAAGGAAAAATAAACTAAGATAAAAACAGAGAGGGAGGCAAGCCATAAGAGACTCTTAACTAGAGAGAACAAACTGAGGATTTCTGGAAGGGAGGGAGGTGGGGGATGTGCTAAATGGGTGATGGGCATTAAGGAGGGCACTTGTTGGGATGAGTCCTGGGTGTTATATGTAAGTGATGAATCACTAAATTCTCCTGAAATCAATACTACACTATATGCTATATGTTAACTAACTTTAATTTAAATAAAATCTTGGAAGAAAAAAAAGTTTTTTAAAAACCAGTGTGTCCAAAAAAAAAAAAAAAAAAGATTTAGTACATTAGCAGGAAACTAGAGTCCCTTTTTCCTCATCACTCCCCCACAGGTAAGCATTGACTGGTTATTGTGTTATGTCACTAGCTTTTCTTTATAAAGTTTTACCTTCATGTATATATCTGGAAAACATATTTAGTTTTCTGCCTTTAGACATAAAAGTAAAATCATACATGCTCTTTAGTGCCTTACTTTTTTTGCTCAATGTTATATTTTTGAGATTCATCCATGATGATGGGTGTGGTTCTAATTTGTTTCCACTGCAGTGTAGTATTTACATGATAAGACTAAAATTTATTTAGTCTGTCATTGATGGACAATAAAAATGTTTTCAGTTTATCTTCATATGCACAGTGGTGTCAAGAACACTCTTATGTATATCCTCTGTGTACCACATACAAGAGTTGCTCAAAAGTACGTACCTAGGGATGTCCAGGAATGAAGGTTCTAGAAGGATATGATTGTTTTTCTAAGTCCCAGGGATTCCTATCATTGGAGGGTAGGACCAGTGTCCTGAATTCCTTTGGCTGGCCAACAGTTGCACACTTCATCTTTTTGGTGTGCTGCAGAATCCTTTTATACCTCTTGAGACACCGTATTAGTAACTTAGGCTTAAGGGACAGAGTGGCGATGGTCCATGCCTAGTGGGTCTCTTTGTTCCATACTTAGGGGACAACATCGGGACTGAGAATCTGTATACTAGCTTACCTCATGACAACATTCTTGAGTCAACTCAGTGTTCATAATGATCACTCACATGCTCTTCCTTGACCTGTTCTACATCAGTGACTTTCCACTTTGCTTGAACAGCACAAATGACCACATTCTAAATTCTGATCCACAAGATGGCATAGTGGAAAGAACATAGGCTTTGGATTCAGGAGGAATTGACTTTAGTGAGCTTGATCACTTAATAATCACATTGTTAATTTGTTTCATTGCTCTGAGTCTGTTTTGTCATCTATAAAACTGGGATAAAAGTTTGTACCTTACAGACATGTTATAATTAGAGATAATATGCAAATTGCTTGGCCATTTACCTGACCCTTGCTGCGCATTCACTAAACTATAGCCTTGGTTAGTATTGTTCTAGTTATTTGTCATCATCTTCAGAAATCTGGAAATACTATTAATTCATTTTTTTGATGATAACCTCACTTTCCTTGCCTGATTGAATTAACTAAATCTGCACACTCCCCCTCTTAAAAATTTCATCTCAACTTCTAGTTTCCTACCCTGAGTTATTCTCATAATGTTCACTTATAAATATGTTTTGTGCTTTGGTCTTAATTTTTTTTGGAGAACAGGATTATATATAGGCATACTTCATTTTATTGTGTTTGCAGATACTGTTTTTCCCCCCAACAAATTAAAGGTTTGTGGCAACCCTGTATTGCTGAGCAAGTTTATTTGTGCCATTTCCCCAACAGTATTTGCTCATTTTATGTCTCTGTGTCACATTTTGGTAATTCTCATAATGTTTCATTTTTTAAATCATTATTATATTTGAATTACATTCAAATAAATTATTATATTTGCGTTAACATTCAAATAAATTATTGTATTTGAATTACATTATTATATTTGAATTTAAATTATTACTATATTTGAATTAAAATTTTAACACATGAGTTAACTTCTTATGAATGAGCTTCTTTGCTTTTTTGCTTGAGAAGGAATCTACTCCTGGTGAAGATGCCATGAAACTGCCGAAATGACAGAGGATTTAAAATATTACGTGGGGGGGCGCCTGGGTGGCTCAGTCGGTTAAGCGGCCGACTTCGGCTCAGGTCATGATCTCACGGTCCGTGAGTTCAAGCCCCGCGTTGGGCTCTGTGCTGACAGCTCAGAGCCTGGAGCCTGTTTTAGATTCTGTATCTCTCTCTCTGACCCTCCCCCATTCATGCTCTGTCTCTCTTTGTCTCAAAAATAAATAAACGTTAACAAATTAAAAAAAAAATATATTATGTAGGGGTGCCTGGCTGGCTCAGTGGACCATACAGTGTTTGGTTGCAGGGTCGTGAGTTTGAGCCCCATATTGGATTTTTTTAGATTTTTAGATTACTAAAAAAAAATAAATGAACTTAAAAAAGTATATTACATAAACTTAGTTGGTAAAGCAGTGGCAGGATTTGAGAGGAATGACTTATTTATTTATTTATTTATTTATTGGCTGATGTTTGCTTGCTGTTATTAATATATATATAATAAGGCATGCAACAGGAGTACGTATAGGAAGGCTGCACTGAAACAGCTCTGTGGTTCTGGCTGTCACATATTCTACTTCCAGGTTGAAATCTACCACAACCATGAAGACCTGAGCTGCAGCTGCATTACATTTCAATCACTGCAGCCACCCAGGTGCCTTCAGAGGAAATGACCAATTTCTGGAAAGCAGCTCTGCCAAAATAATGCTCATCACATGTTGCAGAGAAATCATTCGTGAAAGAAAAAGTCAGTTGATGGGTCACACTTGATGATCTTAAGAAATTGCCACAGCCACCCCAACTTCAGCAGTGGCCACCCTGATCAGTCAGCAGCCATCAACAGTGACACAAATGCTCCACCAGCAAAAAGATTATGTTCATCTTAATTTATAAAGATGACTGACAACATAGGTTAATGCCTTTGAAAGAAAAGTAGTGGTTCAGTTTCCCTAGAAATGAGAGGCATGGGACACAATGCAGAGCCACAGAAGGAACACCACTTGTGATCAGGAAGAAGCAGAAGAAGCTAGAAGAGCCAGCCCTTAGATTATGGCCTTTATTGGGGTTTGGCAGGACCATGGTGGAGGGGTGAGGGCAAGGCAATGCAGGGCAAACAACTGAGGAATGGCTGGTTTGAATAATTCTGGCAAACTCTAAGCCAAAGAATAGCTTCTAGTTACCTGGTCCTGGCCCCGGGAAGATTAAAGTGAGAGAATGTTATCTCTTGGGGTGGACAGGCCAGATAAAGGAAGCAGGTAGAGCTCTGAGGCAGTTAGCTTGTATCAAAGGCATGTTCCTGTCAGAGCCCTTTGCTATTTCTAAGAATTGGCTAGCCCTGAGAGGGTCAGTCTCTCCCCAGCCAAAACATTTATATTTTTAAGATGTAAAAACATCTTTCATAATAGAAAAATAAGTACACTTGCAAACATACACAACATTTTCTGTTACTTATTTTCTTTTGGCCTTTTCTTAAGCATGTCTTAATTTAAACTTTTGATTCCTACCCTCCCCAGTCCCCGCCATTTTCCTTACCATCTTCCTCTCTAGTTCACTTAATGGCATTGTCATCAACTCAGGTACCCTGGCCTCAACACTGACACCCAGTCTTGACTCCTCTTAGTGCATCAGAAACTCCTGCAGGTTCTGCTTCTGACCACATTTCACCCTTTCCGTGTTACCTGCTTGTCTAAGCCAGCATCGGGCTCACCTGGATTACTGCTGCCATCCCGTCTTCACTGCGTACTTCCACTCTTGCCCCGTCAAGATAAAGTGTAATCAGATCTCATCACTCCAGGGATATAAGTCCTCTGAAGATTTCCCAGCTGCAGTTACAACAAATCACAAATGTTTTGCCTCAGCCTTCAGGTGTGATCAGGCTTGTCTCCATCTCTTCCCTCCATTCTCCTCATTCCTTGTGTCCCAGTCATACCTGACCTCTTTGTCACCCTTGAGTATTCCGAACTCAGTGCCACCTCAGGGCCTTTGCACATATTTCCTGTTGTCCTACAACTCTCTTCCTACATTTTTAGTGTAATACCTCATTTTGTAGTTCAAATAGTTCAAAGTTACCTCCTGGGAGAGGCTTTCCCTGAACCTCCTGGGACTGCCATCCATGTTTTTCTTAAACTGTTTACTTTGTTTCTTTATAATTGTGCTACCTGAACTGAAATATTTGTTAATGTGTTTTTAATCTCATGGCACTAAATTAGAATCTCCAGCATGATGGGCAACTGTTTCTCTGGTTTATTACTGTATTTTCAACGTCTGTAGTAGTGCCTACACAATAGGTGCCCAGTAAATATTTGTTGGATTAATGAAAAAATGTATGAAATGTAACTGGAGACAAAAAAAAAATCATAAAACTTGTTACATGTATCATGAAATAATAGTAGTATATACACAATATTATAAATTTGTATAAATATCTTACAGCATTAAAGCATTTTATTTTTTTAGTATTCATTAGAATTCTTCAAAAATATCAGCATGTCTTTTGTGAACAAACTTTATTATGCCTTGTTAAAAACTCTTTTTTGAATGCTTATTTTTCAGAGACAGAGACAGAGCAGGAACCAGGGAGGACAGAGAGAGAGGGAGACACAGAATCCAAAGCAGGCTCCAGGCTCTGAGCTGTCAGCACAGAGCCTGACGTGGGGCTCGAACCCATGAACTGCGAGATCATGAGCCGTAGTCAGGCACTTGACAAACTGAGCCACCCAGGCACCCCAATTATGCCTTGTTTTAAATGTGAATTATAGGACTGTTTTCCTTAATAGCACTTTCAGTTTGTTTCATTTGGAAATTGCTTTTATTGTTTAACATTTGGATAATGTAAATATGTCCATTCATTTATAAATATGAACATTCCTATCTTCCTATATTTGGCATAGAAAGGACTAAAGGAGACTTATATTGGTTGCGTCTAAAGAAAGATACTTAAAATACTTGAGAAAAATGAGGTAGGAAAATTAAGGGTAGGGAAAAAAGTCTAACACAAGAGGTGATAGTAATAAAAAGCTTTCCTTGATGGAAGAGGTCTGAAAAGTGGGCCCTGAGTTTTCTAGCAAATGATGTAAGGTGAGAAATATTACATTTATGGGACTTATGTTTTCTAGGAGTTAAAAGTCAACCAGTTCTTTCAGAGAAACTAAGCCATTCCTCACACTGAGGTCAGGGAGCAATGTCTCCAATCTCAATGAAAGGACAGGGTGTAACATGAAACGTGACCTCAACATCTTCCTTTCAGTAATTACAGTGACATAGGTTGTTTTAGGAAGAATAAGTCAAAATAGGAGTCACTGGGGAAGTGATCTAAATCACCTCTAAGTGAGTTATGAATGGCAAACCGCTTTTAAAACCATTAAGTATTTATGTTGTTTTGTTTTGGATTTACTCTGACACAGCCACTTTTCAAAGAGGACGTGGGGAAAAAATCAGATTCACTCCACATATGGCATGCTCTCAATACTACATCATAGGACAACAATTTCTGCTATGTTGGAAGGAATTTGTCTATGTAAATAAAAGTCAGTATCAGGGCAGCCGAACCGCCAGCCTGAGAGTTCATTGCTTTAATCACAAGCACAGTATAATTACTCAGCCATAGTTTTTTACTCTGTGTTCAGCCTAACAATTTACCTTATATGTGAATTCATGCCTAGTATATCATATGCATGTATCGTGTATGTTGTAAGAAATAGAGTAGTATATTTAACAATGATCACGTACACTGATGTTTTAGCAAACCAATAAGAAAAAAATAGTATTTTCAATAATACATCATTCCATTTCTCAGTTGGGCATGACCTCTTCCTCCAAGGCTGGTCTTCACAAACACTGATCAACCGATGGATGACATTGACAATAAAACAAAGTCCTTGGATCCAGTACCTCATGCTGCTCCTAACCACAGATGCCGTTTGAATTCACCAGTTACAATACCTGATGACCCTCCAGAATAGAATTCCCATTTTATACCTGGTAAGTTAAATCTCCAGAAAGAATCTCTTCACCCCTGTAGAAAATGACACTAAGAGTTAAGTTGCTCATTTAGCTAATTACTTTATTGTTTCAATAAATAAATATTGAGTACCTACTGGATACCAAATACTTTACTAGATGTCAGGTAGAACATTCCTGCCTTTACATCGCTTGGAGTAGGAAGTTGTACAAACATTAATGGTATTCTGCATGCCGTTATGGAAATGTGAAGAGAATGTTGTAGGGACCCAGAAGACAGAGTAACTGACTGTGGGGTTAAAGGGAAGGTCTAACTGAGGAAGTCAAGTTTCATTGGCATGGTAGGGAGTTTCTTGATCAAAAAATAGGTGGGGAAGGGAGAATGTCTGGGAGAAAGAAAAACCTGTCCAAAAACACCAGGTCATGAAGGCCTAGTGGTGTGGTTGGGGCTTGAGGAAGGCCGGCTGGATCAAAAGGCAGAAGTGTGCAGGTGGGGGTGACCGGTTTCCAGTGCTGATTAAGTAGTTTGGATCTTATCCTGGAGCCTTTGAGAGCCTGTAGATGCTTTTTAACAGGACATCAAGACTTTTTTTTTTTTTGGTGGGGAGAGAGGGCACAAGTGAGTGAGGGGCAGAGAGAGAAAGAGAATCCCCCAAGGAGCAGAGAGAGAGGGAGAAGCAGAGCTCACCTGAAGTGGGGCTTGTGTTCACCCAAAACGGGGCTTGAACTCACCCAATGTGGGACTCAAACTCAGGAACCGTGAAATCACAACCTGAGCTGAAGTAGGTGCTTAACTGAGCCACCGAGGCGGGACATCAAGATTTTAGGGGCGCCTGGGTGGTTCAGTCAGTGAAGTGTTGGACTTCTGCTCAGGTCATGATCTCTTGGTTTGTGGGTTCGAGCCCTGCATCAGGCTTCTGTGCTGACAGTGCAGAGCCTACTTGGGATGCGCTCTCTCTCGCGCGCTCTCTCTCCCTCTCTCTCTCTGCCCCTTCTGTGCGCACACACTCTCTCAAAATAAATAAATAGACTTTTAAAAGAAGACTTTAAAGCAGATACTTGAGTTTGTTTTTTCATCATTTTCTTCCCAGCTTCTGGCACATGGTCTGGTGCCTAAAGGGCACTCAATAAATGTCCAGTGAGTAAGTGATTGGATGTTTGATAAGATAGCTCTTGGGGCCAGTGTGAAGGAAACACTGGAACAGAGAGAAAGCAAGAAAAGGGAAACTAGTTAAGTTACTACAGTAAACCCAACTGGATGAGGCTTCGTACCAGTAAGTATAAAGAAGAGGCAAAAGTTCACAGTTTGAAAAAAAAAAAAAAAACTACGAGATGATTGCAGAGATTTATTTCATTCTAGAAATAAGATCCTTGTCACTGCTGGGCAGGAGATCAGCCTCCTTACTAGGCCTGCACTGATCCATCCTGGCTGAGGGAGGGGTGTGGTGTTATTGCTTCTTTTAAGAGACATTTGATAAAAGAAGCAAAATCTAAAGTCCTACCTTGATGGTACCCTCCTGCCAATTCATGATTCCGAGTGCTTCTCTTCTTAAGTATTGTGACTCTTTAAAGAAATCTGGTTTCCTTGACTGTGACCTTACTTACATTGACCAAGTTAGAATTTAACAGACCCCCCGTTGGGAGGAAATCAGTGTGAGAACCAGATGGTGAGGATATAAAGAAGTGACGGGGTCAGCAGCAATGTAGCATAGTCTTCAGATCACCATTTTGAAGTCAAGATGTGATTTCAAATCGCAGTGTTACCACTTGCTTTATCTATGTAAACTTAACAATAGTATGAAGAGTATAAAAATAGAACTTTGTGCAGAGCTCACTTTAAGCCACGTCCTGTGCTAACCCTGCAGCAGCCTTATGAGATGGGCCTAGAGAGGCTATCAAATTACCTCCTCTCTTCAACCTTAGTTTTTGCACTTGTGAAGTGAACTTGACTATCTCATAAAGCTTAAGAGGATTCAATGAGTTAGTAATCTGGAAATCCCCCTACTACGTTTTTGGGATGTGGTATTCCTTTCCCTCAGAAAATAGAAGCTCTGACTCTTTCTAGGAAGCCTCCATGTGACCCATGTAACATCCGTGTAAAAATTTATGCTAAGTTCCAATATATTGTAGTTACAGTCATGTAATTTTTTCATTTGTTTTTGAACACAGCGCCCCCAGCACCTACTGTCCCTCCTCTCGCATACTACCCAGGAGGCTTGCTAATGGGATACTGCTGTCTACATCAGCGCAGTGCCTTCCCCTTGTACCAGCCAACTGGTGGCATCCATTCTATACAGCACCAGCCTGGCAGATGTCCAGTGTGAAATGAGCCTGCTCCAACAGCATGGATGCCAGAGCCAGTTCCTGTGCCAAACTGCCCTCCTGGTCTGGAAGACTTAGTAGCTCAGGTACTCCACACAAATCCAAAATATCTTCCTGTGAAATATGACCTTGAGGATCCAACAGAAAAGAGACACAAGGCCGGATAGAGTGGACAAAGGTGGTGGGTCAGTGATGACAGAGGCCCAGTTTGTGAGGCTGTAGGAGCAGTGGTCCTGATTTCAGATTTGTGAAGGGGAAGCGTAAGTATAGGAATATTTTTCGTGGGAAGACTGTGTATGGTTTTCATAAAGGATTAATGTTGAGTGGTAAGATATTTGAGATGTCCTCTTGAAGGAAATTAGAAAAGTAGGAATAGAAAAAGTCGACATAGATCCTAACTGGAGTGTCATTTAATTGGAAGAGTAAACATCAAGAAAGGCAACATGAAGGAACAGAACATTTAGTGACAAACTCATCAGGTGCCTTCACCCCTTGCTTTCCCTCACCACCCATAATTTTATCACCTGCTCTAGCCCTCATAAAAATCTATTATTACCAAGTAAACATAAGGTGCGTACCAAGCATACAGAGCTTCAAGCCAAGTCTATGAGGCCCTCTACTGTAAAGTGGTGATCCCCTAAACTCTGTTTAAAAATTGTGAACCCACTCTGAAACCCAGGTCCTAAAGTCAAGGGATAAGTAGATTTGGTTATAAACTCAAATTGCATAAGCTCAAAAAATGTATCTAGTGAAACGGAGATACAGCTAGTATTGGAAACTCTTCTGTTATCCTGGCTCTTTTTGTTTTGGAAACAGGAGGTATTGAAGTTCATTATAAGCAAGGAACTCTAATTCAATGCTTCTCTTCCCACGTGATCAATAAAATATTTCTTGAGGTTGACAAGTTCCTCTTTGCAGTTCTATATATTTAATCTTGTGCACTGAAAACTATTGATACAGTGCTATGGAGATGATGTGCGAAATGCAGTAAAATTGGATCGAGCAATTGGAATTTGTAGGAGCCAAGAATTTTATTAAACTTTCCCTTTATAAAATAGCTATAAAATATACATGAAGTCATTAAAGTGCTAGAGTAAACCCCTTAACTATGTTAGGAGCTTATTGGATGCCTATAGTTAATAAATTTTAGAAAATCTTTTTTATGCTTGTACAATAATATAAGAATTTGACCTTGTAAGTCTGTGGTCTCCTAGACCATTTCTCCTTCTTTTAAAATTGCACAGCGTTAAAATTGTTTATTAAAGTTAAAAAAAGGTGTTCAGCTTCTTCCATTACCCTCACAAAGGTTAAATGATAGATATGATGGATTCACTTATCCCTTTCAGAAATGCGTGAGTTAAAAAACAAAACCAGAAACAAATAAAAAAGAAAACAAGGTTTAGGGCCAGATAATGTAGTGTTTGATTCTGTAGTTTTATCACCTCCTAGTTCTATAAACTTGAACAAATTTCATAACTAGGTGATGTTTCAGTTTCTTCTACAAAATACTACTAATTCTCCCTACTCTATTGGGTGGTTCTGGGAACTGTTAATGTGTGACAGAGTTCCTGGAACCACTGAATGGATGAGGCAGTAATGATGCTATTTAGGTGAAATACCTCCTTGGGTACGAATGCAAGGTACATACCCAGTCATTTTGCTCTATTTTCCCTAGACTCTCAAGATCTCATGAAATTACCAGGACTCCTCACAGAAATTCTGTCTAACACAGCAGGATTACATGGTTTCTGAGCCTGGAATTTGCCAGTGACTCCACTAGCTCCTAAAAGAATGGATCCTTAATAGCCACATTGTTTTATTAGTAAACTTCTCCCATGTTAAAGGGCTTCATTTCTTTAGGCTTTTTTGCCTACCAGTGGACATTTTATTAAAGAGTGAATATTTTTTATCTTTTAGCCCTAGATTTTAAGATCCTGGAGTTTTTTTAAATAGGACTATAAATCATTTTGGTGGCCACTGTTGAAAAATCATGAGACATGTTTGGATCCCCTCACCTGGCTATGCTTTCATACAGGAAAAGTCTTGAATGAAAAATAGATTATTTACTCTCTTGTAATTAAGTATACTATTAAACATTTATGTCCAGTTAAGTCACTTTCAATTTTGTTCATTTCAAAACCATTCATAACTCATTCAAAAAATATTTAAGGCAATAGGGCATTTCAGTCCATGTCCTGTGCCCAGAAGTTAGGAATGACAGAAAATTGTGTAAGATAGGATCAGTCTGTCCTCAAGGAGATTTCTTCTGCCAGAAGGATTCAAGAATCTTGGGAGTAATCCCTAAGTAAGACTAAGGTGAGAAATCTGTCTAACGATAGTCTGAATTTCCCTTTTCAGGAGAACACATTCCAGAAAGTTTCTTGTCCTGTCCTCTCATCCTGTTTATAAGCCTCTTGCCCTCCTGGACCCTCCTCTTATTACAAGGGAACACGTAGGGAAGAGCTTGGTGTGTAGTAACTCAAGTGAACAGAAAAATCAGAATGTTAATCTGTCAGAGGCACCTTGAAAATTTGGTACTCCTGTGTGAGGTTCACCCTGGCTGATTCCTCTCCCTAAGCCACTGAGAAAATAGCCTCGTATGTGGCTGGTCCATGTTAAACCATCCTGAGCTTCCTGAGCAACTTGTCTGTAGGTGACATGTTAATGAGACCAGTGAATAGGGACTGAGCTAGATACAATCTGCGTAAACACAGCTTTTTCTAGATGCTGTTAGTGTAGCAGGAAGATGATTTTCTGAAATTTTATTAGAAACATTATTAAATATTTTAGTCTTCTAGAGTAGAACTGGAAGAAAGCGCCTTTCCTATCTAGACAGCTCTCCTTATATGTGATCAGGTGCAAATAGGCTAATTTCACTTGACAAAATATATTTGTAAGTAATTAACATTGAAGATATGTTAAAAATTGATTGCTACGTTGTAATATATCATCAGTTTTTTCTCTAAGCCTAATTGTTTTAATGCTATTGTTTCTAACTTTCCTAATTAACTTTTTTCTATCACATTAGTTGACAACATACCCATTCTTCCGCATTTTGAACACCTGGAAAATATGTATACTTCAGTGGTGATCAGCAATATTTGAATCAGCATTATTGAATATCCAGTTAGTTCTTCATATTGGCCATTTCTTAGTGGTTCAAAGAGAAAAGACTGTCCTAGAAACTAAAAAAGGGAATTTTTGTGTATAATTTTATTTATTTATAAATCATTTATTATTAGATCTAGATTGAAAAAGATCTTACATATTATCTGGTCACCCCCACTACACTTGTTCCCTCTTTCTGCCCCCATCATAGATATTATAGACAAGGGGGGAAAAGAATAGAGAAACTAAGGAACTTAGTGAGGGACAAGTGAATCTAGATTCACTGGAAGGGGGAAGAAATGAGCACAATAAACATGAAATCTGTCCTCTATTCATCAGTAAAGTGTTCCTGACCCTTAAAGCAACAACTTTACACATTCATTTGGCTATGACATAAGGCCTTCTTGGTTCTTTTTTCTATCTGCAGTTTGTGATGACCTTGATCATCTTACCACATTTCATGTGCTGAATGATTTGTGATGCAATGTATAATTTTATTAAAATATTTTTAAATTTTATTTATTTAAATTCAAGTTAGTTGACATACAGGGTAGTAATAGTGGTTCATCACTTATTATTATAACAACCACTGCTCATCCCAACAAGTGCCTAATACCCATCAACCCATTTAGCCCATCCCTCCCATCTCTCCTCCAGCAAACCCCAGTACGTTCTTTGTATTTAAGAGGCTGTTATGGTTTGCCTCTCACTCTGTTTTGATCTTAGTTTTTCCCTTACCCTATGTTCATCTATTTTGTTTCTTAAATTCCACATATGAGCGAAATCATTTGATATTTGTCTTTCTCTGCCTGACTTATTTCGCTTAGCATAATATACTCTAGTTCCATCCAGGTGGTTGCAAATGGCAAGATTTCATTCTTTTTGATCACCAAGTAACGTTCCAGTGTGTGTGTGTGTGTGTGTGTGTGTGTGTGTGTGTGTGTGTGTGTAACATATCATCTTTATCCACTCATCAGTTGATAGACACTTGGGCTCTTTCCATACTTCGGCTATAGTTGATAGTGCTGCTATAAAAACATTCAGGTGCATGTGCCCCTTCGAATCAGCACTCCTGTATCCTTTGCATAAATACCTGGCAGTACATTTGCTGGGTCATAGCATAGTTCTATTTTTAACTTTTGAGGAACCTCCATACTGTTTTCCAGAGTTTGCATTGCCACCAACAGTGCAAAAGTGTTCTCCTTTCTTTGCATCTTTGCCAACATCTGTTGTTTCCTGAGGTGTTAATTTTAGCCATTCTGACAGGGGTGAGGTGGTATCTCATTGTAGTTTTGATTTGTATTTCCTGATGGTGAATGATAGGGAGCATCTTTTTGTGTGTCTGTTAGCCATCCAGATGTCTTCTTTGGAAAGTGTCTATCATGTCTTTTGTCTATTTCTTTATTAGGTTATTTATTTTTTGGGTGTTGAGTTTGATAAGTTCTTTATAGATTTTGGATACTAACCCATTATAAGATATGTCATTTGCAAATATCTTCTTCCATTCATTCAGTTGCCTTTTAGTTTTGCTGATTGTTTCCTTTGCTGTGCAGAAGGCGTTTATCTTGAAGAGGTCCTAATAGTTCATTTTTGCTTTTGTTTCCCTTGCCTCCAGAGATGTGTCAAGTAAGAAGTTGCTGTGGCCAAGGTCAAAGAGGTTGTTGTCTGTTTTCTCCTCTAGGATTTTGATGGCTTCCTGACTTACATTTAAGTCCTGTATCCATTTTGAATTTATTTTTGTGAATGGTATGGGAAAGTTTTATTCTCCTGCATGTCTCTGTCCAGTTTTCCCAGCACAATTTACTAAAGAGATTGTCTTTATTCCATTAGATACTCTTTCCTGCTTTGTCAAAGATTAGTTGGCTATACATTTGTGAGTCCATTTCTGGGTTCTTTGTTCTGTTCCATTGATCTATGTGTCTGTTTTTGTGCCTGTATCATACTGTCTTGATTACAGCTTTGTAATACAGCTTACGGTCCAGATTTATGAAGCCTCTGTCTTTGCCTCTCTTTTTCTCATTACATTGACTATTAGGGGTCTTTTCTTGTTCTATACAAATTTCAGGATTGTTTGTTCTAGCTCTGTGAAGAATGCTGGTGTTATTTTGATAGGGATGGCTTTGAATGTATAGATTGTTTTGGGTAGTATCGACATTTTAACAATATTTTGTTCTTCCAATGTAGGAGCATGAAATGTTTTTCCATTTCTTTGTGTCTTCTTAGTTTTCAACACACAGATATTTTACCTCTTTGGTTAGGTTTATTCCTGGGTATCTTACGGGTTTTGGTGCAGTAGTAAATGGGATTGATTCCTTGATTTCTCTTTCTGCTGCTTCATTATTGGTGTATAGAAATGCAACTGATATCTGTACATTGATGTTATATTCTATAACTTCACTGAATTCAGGTATCAGCAATAGCAATTTTTTGGTGGAGTCTCTTGGGTTTTCCATGTAAAGTACCATGTCACCTGCAAAGAGTAAAAGTTTGACTTCTTTGTCAATTTGTATGCCTTTTATTTCTTTTTGCTGTCTGATTGCTGAGGATAGGACTTTTAGTACTATGTTGAACAACAGTGGTGACTGTGGACATCTCTGTCATATTCCTGACCTTATAGAGAAGCTCTCAGTTTTTCCCCATTGAGGATTAGCTGTGGGCCTTTCATTTATGGCTTTTATGATGCTGAGGTATGTTTCTTCTATTCCTACTTTCTTCAGGATTTTTATCAAGGAAGGATGCTCTATTTTGTCAAATGCTTTTTCTGTATCTATTGAGAGGATCCTATGGTTCTTATCCTTTCTTTCATTAATGTAGTGTATCACATTGATTGATTTGCAAATATTGAACCAGGAATAAATCCCACTTGATCACGGTGAATAATTCTTTTAATGTGCTTTTGTATTAAATTTGCTAATATCTTGTTGAGAATTTTTTCATCCAGGTTCATCAGGGAAATTGACCTGTAATTCTCCTTTTAATGGAGTCTCTGGCTTTGGAATCAAGGTAATGCTGGCTTCATAGAATGAGTTTGGAAGCTTTCCTTCCATTTCTATTTTTTTTGCAACAGTTTGAAAAGAAGAGGTATTAATTCTTCTTTAAATGTCTAGTAGAATTCCCCTGGGAAGCCGTCTGGCCTAGGACTCTTATTTGTTGGAAGATTTTTGACAACTGATTCAATTTCTTTGCTGGTTATGAGTCTGTTCAATTTTTTCTTTTCTTCCTGGTTCAGTTTTGGTAGTAGGTGAGTGTCTAGGAATTTGTCCATTTCTTCCAGATTGCCCAGTTTGTTGGCATATAATTTTTCGTAGTATTATCTTAGAATTGTTTGTATTTCTGTGGTATTGGTTGTGATCTCTTCTCTTTCATTCGTGATTTTATCTATTTGGGTCCTGTCTTCTTGTTGATAAGTCTGGCTAGGGGGTTATCAATTTTGTTTATTCCTTCAAAGAACCAGCTTTTAGTTTCATTGATCTGTTCTACTGTTTCTTTGTTTGTTTCTGTATTGTTTATTTCTGCTCTAATCTTTATCATTTCCCTTCTTCTGGCATTGGGCTTTATTTGCTTCTCCTTTTCTAGCTCCTTTAGGTGTAAGGTTAGGTTGAATATTTGGGACCTTTCTTAAAAGCTTCTTGAGATTAGGCCTGAACTGCAGTGTACTTTCCTCTTAGGACTGCCTTTGCTGCATCCCAAAAGGTTTGGACTGTCGTATTTTCATTTTCATTTGTGTCCATGTATTTTTTTATTGCTTCTTTAATTTCCTGGTTAACCATTCATTCTTTACTAGGATGTCCAAATATTTTCATGTGGCTGAATTCAAGTTTCATAGCGTTGTGAGCTGAAAATATGCATGGTATGATTTCAGTCATTTTGTACCTATTGAGGGCTGACTTGTGACCCAGGTTGTGATCAGTTTTGGAAAATGTTCCATGTGCACTTGAGAAGAATATTATTCTGCTGCTTTAAGGTGAATGTTCTGAATAGATCTGTTAAGTCCATCCAGTCCAGTGAGTCATTAAGAGCTGTTGTTTCCTTTTTTTATTTTCTGCTTAATGGATCTGTCCATTGTTGTAAGTGGAATATTAAATCTCCTACTATTATGGTATTATTACCACTGAGTCTCTTTATGTTTGTGATTAATTGCTTTATATATTTGGGTGCTTTCAAGTTGGGGGCATAAATATTTACAATTGTTGGATCTTCTTGATGGATAGATCCCTTAATTATGATAATGTCCTTCCTCATCTCTTAGTACAGTCTTTGTTTTAAAATCTAGTTTGTCTGATATAAATATGGCTAGTCTGGCTTTCCTTTGGCCTCCTTTAGCATGATAAATGGTTCTCCATCTAGATAGATAGATAGATAGATAGATAGATAGATAGATAGAGGTTCTCCATCCCCCTACTTTCAATCTGCAGGTGTTCTTAGGTCTACAGTGAGTCTCTTGTATGCAGCGTATGGATGGATCTTGTTTTTTTAATCCATTCTGCTACCCTGTGTATTTTGATTGGAGCCTTTTGTCTGTTTGCATTCAGATTGATTGTTGAAAGATAGGAATTTAGTGTCATTCTGTTATCTGTAGATCTGATGTCTATCCTTGTTAGTTAAGGATCCTTTGTCCCTAGATACTTTGAGAAATCTCCCTTTTTCCTTGTATTTTGTGAGTTTCATTATGATATGCTATGGTATTGACCTGTTTTTGTTGATTTTAAGGGAGTTTTCTGTGCCTCTTGTACTTGGATGTCTGTTTCCTTCCCCAGATTAGGGATGTTCTCAGCTATAATTTGTTCAAATAAACCTTCTGGTCCTTTCCCCACTCTTCCTCTTCTAGTACTCCTATGATATGGACATTATTTCATTTCATGCAATTGCTTAGTTCTCTAAGTCTCCCCTCATGATTTGGTAACTTCCTTTCCCTCTTTTTTTCAGCTTCATTATTTTCCATAATTTTATCTTCTGTTTCACCTATTCCCTCCTCTGCTTCTTCATTTCATGCTGTCACTATATCTAGTTTATTTTGTATCTCAGTTACATTTTAAATTCATCCTGACATTAAAATATTTTTAAAACTAAAGTTTTCTGAATGCAAGTATTATAGAAAACATGAATATCTTATAAAAAATGATTTCAGTCTTTCCTGTTATGTGAATAAACATTTTAAAATGATCGTGCTCTGAGCTTAAATATTTTAAATCCCAAAGGATTTATTTTATTTTTTTTTTCTCAACGTTTATTTATTTTTGGGACAGAGAGAGACAGAGCATGAACGGGCGCGGGGCAGAGAGAGAGGGAGACACAGAATCGGAAACAGGCTCCAGGCTCTGAGCCATCAGCCCAGAGCCCGATGCAGGGCTCGAACTCACGGACCGCGAGATTGTGACCTGGCTGAAGTCGGACGCTTAACCGACTGCGCCACCCAGGCGCCCCGGATTTATTTTTTAATTTGTATTTATTTACGTAATCCTTTATCCAATGTGGGACTTGAACTCATGACCCTGAGATCAAGAGTCACATGCTCCTCTAACTGAGCCAGCTAGATGTCCCTAAATCCCAAAGGATTTAAATTCTTACAAGGGTTATAAGATATTTTGATGTTCTGATGAATTGCATATGCTTCAATGAAATTTTGAAAAAGCTGTTTTTCTTTATACACTAAGAAATGCTAGACAAATACTTGAAGACCATTTTAACTGCTTCTAAGTTAAAAGTGGCTTTCTTGGGCACCTTGGTGGCTTAGTCGGTTAAGTGTCTGACTTTGGCACAGGTCCTGATCTCGCAGTTTGCAGGTTTGAGTCTCTCTTTGGGTTCTATGCTGATAGCCCAGAGTTTGGAGCCTGCTTCAGATTCTGTGTCTCCCTCTCTATCTGCCCTTCCCCGCCCCCACACACATACATACATACACACACACTTTCTTTCTCTCAAAAAACGAATAAACATTAAAAAATTTTTTTAAAATAAAGTGGCTTTCTCATTTTATTTTTTAGTGATGACATCTTTTAAAACTAATAATAGATACAATATTAAAAACAATCTGGGCCAGATTATTCACATCATAACTGAAAACACAGAAGACTTTACCAAAACTGTGTATCAGACACTAAGGCCCTTTATCCTGCAGGTCATTGACTATATCAGGCAAGAAATCATGACCATGCAGAGGCCTTTCCGATGTACCTGCTGTTATTTCTGTTGTCCCTTCACTAGGCAAGAGGTCAGAGAACACAAGTCTAATTCCTTGTTTCTTTCTGATCTGACTCTTCACAGCATCGTTTTGCTCCTTCCAGAATGACACACAAGGGTGTTTTCACTGGCTCTGCTGGTCAGAATGAAAGAAGAGAGCAGGAAGGGGTGGGGGGGGGAGATGTCAAATTGTGTCACCTGAAGAAAATCACAGAGGGTTTTTTCTTGTGGCTTTTGTCTTCTGGTGCTAGTTGGAGGGTCAGACTCAGATAAGGGTTGTTTACTTGGTGACCAATTCTGTTGGTTGTGTCTACTTAATTAGAAATGTGTCTGTTACCCAGAACAGAAGTCACACACATTTGTCTAAATGTACCAACATAACCCCAGATAAGGTGTCCCTAGACATAATTGTATACTTTCAGAATTGGAAGAGACTTAAAAACTTCTTTTTTTAATGTTTATTTTTGAGAGAGAGAGAGAGACTGAGTGTGAGCAGGGGTGGGCAGAGAGAAAGGGAGACACAGAATCCAAAGCAGGCTCCAGGCTCTGAGCTGTCAGCACAGAGCCCGATGTGAGGCTCACACTCAATGCAACTACTCTATGAACACATGACCTGAGCTGAAGACTGACGCTTAACCGACTGAACCACCCAGGCACCCCTAGAACTGGAAGAGACTTTAGATAACTGTACACTGTCCATCCCAATCCACATCTTGCCACAGGTAAAGAAAGGGTGGCTCAGAAAATTAAGCACCTGATGAGCGTGTTACACTCCACCAAGCACTGGAACTGGAAAGCAGATGTTCTGAGTTACAGCTGGGTTCCTCTTCTACAACCTGTGAGGCTCTAGGAAGGTTGTTTGCTTCAGGGAAAAGAAGCAGCTTTAGACAGAGGTCAACCAGGATTTTGAATTCTAGATATGCCTTCTATTTATGTTGGTATAATTTATTTAATTTTTTGGGCTCTGTTAAAGTGGTCCAAGAGACATATTAACTATGCATAATCCATGGGATTATTGAATATATAAAAGACACATTTTCATTCAGTATCAGCACTTCCTGAATGTTAGTTTATTTACAAGCCTTTCTGTGTTTTGATGTCCTATAACATGGAGATAATAATATAAATACACAATGATATATTTTGAGGATTAAATAGTAAATGAATATTAACTGTCGTTACAGTACCTGGCAGGTAGTACAGCCGAGAATATTGGGCTGTTGTTCCCAGAATTCTTCTCTCTACTATGTTTGTAATAACAGCCTTAATTTTTTTTTTAATGTTTATTTATTTTTGAGACAGAGAGAGACAGAGCATGAACAGGGGAGGTCAGAGAGGAGACACAGACCTGGAATGAGTCGGCCTCCTCTGACAGTCAGCACACAGAGCCCCATGCAGAGCTTGAACTCAATGGACTGCTGCAAGATCATGACCTGAGTCAAGTCATCGTCATGACCGACTGGAGCCACCTTGTATTTCCTGCTAACAGCCTTAAATTTGAGATGAATCTTCACCTTTAATCCTCAGTCCTTTTGAAGATACAAGCAATTCTTCATATTTATGACTTTTTTCCTCAAATCCTATAATGCAGCCTTCCAAGATTACAGTAAGCCATGATGTGGCAAAGCTCATCAAAATTAGAAAATACTCAATTTATGGAACATTTATCCAATGATAGATTTGTTTTTTCTCATTTCTCCAGTTGTACTTGTATTCGTGTGTGTGTGTGTGTGTGTGTGTGTGTGCGCGTTTTTAGTCCTGGGAGGTTTGATCACCTGTGTAGATTCCTTTTTCTACCGCCAAGATACAGATACCTCTCAGTTCCTTCACCACAAAAATCCTCTTCATAACCACACCCACCATAGAATTAGAGAAGGAACTTTAGTCCTCCTCTGTGTCCTGAAGGAAGGTGTGACCTCATCCCTTAAGGTTGCATCCCTTAAGGTTGCTCCTGCAAAGTCAACCCTGACAAATGGCCAGGGGAAAGAGTGGTCAAGGCCTTGCGTTGTTGGCACGCACAGTGAGAAGGGGAGGAGTACGAGAGGCCCACGGAGGACTATCTTGTCCAGCAGTAATTTCCCTAGTCCTTGAAGGGCTTAGAGCACATCTAGGTGGTGTGTACATGAGTACATGTCTGTCGTTTCCTCCCCTCTGCCCATTTGCAGCTGGAAATGCAGTGGCCTCCTGGTGTCACCGCTGGCTTTGCTCTGGAGCACTGGAACCCGTGCAGGACGCTTTATAGCATCCAAAGCAAGAAGAAAGAAAAAGTGATGGGAGTGCGTGGGCCGCGTTCAACCCATGGCTGGGGTTCAGATTCTGCTTTTGAGGTAACCTAATATTAAAATGTTTTCAGAGTGTTTTCTACATGGACTAACCAACCTCAGAATGATCTTGTTTCAGTACACTCTTCCATGTAAGTGAAATGAGGTTTGCAAAATCACGTATAAATACAGCAGTATGAAATATTTAAAATACTATTTAAGGAGACTCGAAGGTATACAGCATAGTACTCTGTCCCAAATGTAAAATAAGCAAATACAGAATTAAAGTGTGAAACTCAAAAAGCATTGATACAAAATAATTACAGATTCATCATGTTGCACATATATACCACATCATGAGACAGGTATTTGCTAATCTCATTTTTCAGAGACAAAGCTGAAATTTATCAGGAGTTAATAGGAAGGGGATTGGGTGCTGAGGAATTTCTTCCCTCTGATGTAATTGCAATGCAGGGAGTCAGAAAGAAAGAGACTTGAGAGCTCCTGGAAGAGGGAAGCAGAGCAGGTGGAATTAGCTGACACGAGAGCTGTTGAGCTAATGAGTCTCAAAAGTCCCCAACAGAAGCCTGGTGAGGCAGCCTGCTGTCCTATCCATGTTCTCCCAGTTTCCCGAGTAGTCTGGTGGTGAGTGGCCACTGGTGTGTGTGGTGGGGGCAGGAGACGGTGCTGGGTCTGGGATGACCTCGATGCATCCACTCTTGAGGTGAACACTACCTCCAATGTACTCAACCATGTGTATATCTTAGAGGATTTTTCCGTGTAACGTTTTCTGGATTCTAAGGAACCAAAATGCATGTACGTTAATAGAATACACTTACAACGCAAATGAGTTGCACTGGAAATCTATATACAAGTATAGCTTAAAAAAGAAACAACAGATAAATAGCAAGTTCTAAATACATGTTCTGTAATTAGCTAGCTTCATGGTAGTCCCTTACATTTTCTTGCAGTTCTTAGTTCTGTTGCTTCTCAACAAAGGAGCCAGTCGCGTGAAGGCATATCATCTTGATATGTGTAGTTGCTAGGTTTACCTCAAGATTTAATTCCAGGCCGGAAGGATATGCATCTGGGCAAATTTAGAGAAGAAACATCCTAATCATGGAATAGTTGGAATAATGTAACCAGTGACCTATAGCAGCAGTGATGACTGAGGTGATGCTAACGATGATAAGAGCAGCTGTCCTTTCCAGTGATCCTACCTTCTAGGCATGGTTCTGGTCCTAACTACTTTCCACATGTTAACTCATTTAATTCGTATAACAAACCCATTAGATAGATACTATGATAATACCCCTTTTAGGGGTGGCTGGGTGGCTCAGTTAGTTAATCGTCCGACTCTTAATTTTGGCTCTGTGCTCACAGTGCTTGGTGTATTCTCTCTCTCTCTCTCTCTCTCTCTCTCTTTTTCTTTCTCTTTCTCTCAAAATAAATAAATGCATATTTAAAAAATATAATTCCCCTTTTAGAGATGAGAAAACTGAGGTTAGATATCTCGTGCAAAGTCACTCACAAAACCATTATGTGAAAGTGTCTCCAGAGGCTACACCCTAAAACACTATGCCTTGTGTCGTCTTTCATCTGTGGGGTATTTAGTTTCTTTCTGTGTAAACACAGGAGATCAGAAATGGAGTAAAATGGTGGCAGGTTACTTCACGCACCCTCAAGTTTAGAACCATGAGGCTGAGCCCATGAGGCTCCGAGGACGGCTTGTCTGCGGGTGTGCTCTCTCTGACAGGCTTGCTCTTGCTTCTGCTGGTGTCCCATGATGTAACCAATGGAAGACCATGTGTTATATTATTCTTCCAATTTGGAGATTCCCAAGTCATGTGTGTGTTTTGAATATAAACCCCTAAATGATGAGTGCACATCTTGATATATGAGTTCTCAGTGATCAAATTTTCCCTGCCAAAATCTCTAAGTATTGAAATCTCTATGTAAGCTTGGAAAAGAAATAAAAAAATATAATTGTTAAAAAGGTGCACAGATTTTAGTGTCAAGAACATAAGACAGAATGTTCAAACACCAGTGTAACAGTTAAAATAATTTTCTTTATGTGAATTATTAACGGCTGGCAATAGCTAAAAAGACACTTCCTCGTTTTCTATTTGAGATGACATATGTGATGTTTCTGCCCTGTGGAATTCGTATGGAATTCCGATCCTCTGGAGATGTTTGTTTCCGTTAATGTTTGATTAGATAAAACCTCATTCAATTAATGTTATGGTAACTGTTTTACATTCCGAGGCACAGAAAAATTTATCTTGGAAAAAATGCTGAAACCATGTTTTTCCTGAAAGTTTCAAGAGTGTGTTTGCTAAGTTTGCTAAGTTGTCGTAGCTAACACTCATTGAACACTGTTTCTGTTTGGTTAAAAATAAAACAGATTTAGAAAATAAACAATGTTAGAGACTCTTATTTGTGCAAGGATAGGGAGATGAGGGATGCCATAGAGAATAATTAAAATGACAAAATACTTACATAGTTTTATAAATTTATTGCTGCTAGCTGCCTTTTGCCCTCCTCACCATAAAACTAAAACAAGCCTTAAAAGGGACAGAACTAGCTTATAGCTTCTTTATTAAAAAATAGTTTTATTAAAATATATTCATTTTGATATATATCTGTATCTATGTATCTATTCTCATGAATGTTACTGTGACCCTAAACTGCTCTGCAAAATAGTCTATTAAAAACAAAATTCCTAAAGGCCTCATAAGGGATATAAATGAGCGAGGAAGAAATACCAGGAACTGCTGCAAACTGGAGACTACAGATGGTATTTAAAGAGGGACCCAGATATTTAGCATAAGCAAATTGACTTACCCAGAGTGAGGTTTACATAGACAGACTGCCTTTCTGGGGAGGCTAGGTTATGCTGTGATGACAAACAACACTGAAGTCTTAGTGACTTATAAGAAAACAAAAAGTTCTCTTCTTTTTTTAAACTTTTTCTTTCAATATTTACTTTAGAGAGAGAGAGAGAGAACGCATGTCCGCGTGAGTGGGGGAGGGGCAGAGAGAGAGGGAGACACAGAATCTGAACAGGCTCCGGGCTCTGAGCTGTCAGCCCAGAGCTCGATGCGGGGCTGGAACTCACGGACCGGGAGATCATGACCTGAGCCGAAGTCAGCACTTAACCGACTGAGCCACTCAGGCGTCCCTGTTTGTTCCTTTCTTACCCTGTGTGTCCAAGTGCAAGTTATCAGAACACCTCTGCTCATCACAGTCTCTCAAGGACTTGTGCTAGTACAGATTCTATCTTGACCTAATCTTACGTAAGTGCTAAGAAGACATGGGGAAGTGCACATGGCAACTTGCACCCTCGTTCTTAAGTTTTCTGCCCGAAAGTGGAACATCTCACTTGGAGTCACAGTTCATTGGTCAGTGCAAGCCATGTAGAAACAACCAACTTCAAATGAGCAGAAAGATGCAATCTTAGAATATTTTTGGAAGGAAAGAAAAGAGTTTGTAAATAGCACTAATGACGACTTGGCAAATGTCCTGGTTTTTAATTTTTGTTTTATTTTTCTTCAAAACAACCTGCAATACAGAATGTTATGTGAAATTGATATATTAATGTGGGCAACTAGTTACATTTTTAAGACAGCATCTTCAGGGGCGCCTGGGTGGCTTGGTCAGTTGAGAGACTGACCTCGGCTCAGGTCATGATCTCACAGTTGGTGAGTTCGAGCTCCATGTCAGGCTCTGTGTTTACAGCTCAGAGCCTGGAGCCTGCTTCAGATTCTGTGTCTCCCTCTCTCTCTGCCCTTCCGTGCTCACACTCTGTCTCTCTCAAAAATAAATAAACATTAAAAAAATTAAAAAAAGAAACAGCATCTTTACATTAATGATGCTTGCTGGCTTCTAATTTGTCATTTTTATCAACCAACATCTTAAGTAGAAATTAGGGTAAATCTACCAGCTTCATAAAGGCAGTGGAAGGCCCTAGGGATAAGGGAAATGGAAGACATACAGTGGAGTTGCTTAGTTGAACATAGGCAGGGGTATCAAAAATATATTTTTACTTACTTCACAATTTGCCTGCCCTGAATGGTTAAAATTAAAAAGACTGAAAAAACCAAGTGTTAGTGAAAGTGTGGAGCAGCTGGAACTCTCACAAATTGTTTCAACCACTTTGGAAAGTCATTTGTAAGTATCTAATAAAACCAGATATATAAGTACTCTGTGATTCAGCTACTTAACTTTTAGATAGATGCTTAAGAAAAATAAGTACAAATGTTTACCAAAGGTTATATTCAGTGTTTCTAGCAACTGTATTCATAGCCCCAAATGCAGAGATCCCAAAATGTGCATCAATAGGAGAATAGATTTAAAAAAACATTTTTTTTAATGTTTATTCAGTTTTGAGAGACAGAGAGCAAGCAGGGGTGGGGCAGAGAGAGAGGGAGACACAGAATCCGAAGCAGGCTCTAGGCTCCAAGCTGTCAGCACAGAGCCCGACTTGGAGCTCGAACTCACAAGCTATGAGATCATGACCTGAGCCGAAGTCAGACACCTAACTGACTGAGCCACCCAGGCGCCCCTAGGAGAATAGATTTTTTAAAAAAGTGTATTCTCAGAATGAAATGCCATGCAGTGACAAAAAGGAGAAAGTACTGATATACAGTACAACCTGGATGATGGATAATGGATAAATCTCAGAAATTATCTTTATTAGGGTTCTCCAGAGAGACAAATACATGGAATTGGCTCACATGCTTATGAAGACAGAGAAGTCCCACAATCTGCAGTTGGCAAACTAGAGACCCAGAGGAGCTGATGGTACAGTCCAGTTCAAGTCCAAGTCTGACTGCAGCAGAGGACTGGTGTCCCAGCTCAGAGAAGCGGACAGAGAAAATTTCCCCCTAACCTACCTTTTTTTTTTTTTTTTTTCTATTCAGACATCCAGCAGATTGGATGAAGACCAACCACATTGAGAAGGGCAATACTCTGCTTTCCTCAGTCTATCAATTCGAATATTAATCTCATCCAGAAACACCCTCACAGACACACGCAGAATGTGTATCCAAATATCTGGGCATCCCGTGGCCCTG